CACACACACATACACCACACACCACACACACGCACAACACACACATACAACACACACACACACACACACACACACAAAGTAACAAGGACAAGATGGTAAGCAACTTCAGAGAGATTCAGTCATTTGCCAAAGCCACATAACCATCGAGTATCAGAGCCCAATTCAAATCTAGGTTGGCAGGCTAGTCCGGGTAGCTCAGTGAGAGAGAGCCTGCCTAGCATGTTAGAGGCCCTGGTTTCTATCCAGAACACACACACACACACACACACACACACACACACACACCCCACACATACACACACAAAACAAAACAAAACAAAAAAACCAAAAAACTCTGAGTTGGTTGGACTCTACACCAGGCTCCAAGTCTACGACGCCTCTCACCAAAAGCCACACACTGTGCTCCTTGCCTGCAGATGCTGACGGCAAGGAGGTCCTGTATAAATAGTCTTAAGGATATATATGCCAGTCACCATCCCACGAATTCAAACCAGGAGGAGTAGACTTGGCCAGGCCCGTATGTAATCAGACTGAGTGCTAAGTGTGAGACTAAAAAAACAGGACTCTTGGGTCACTGCTCAAGAAAGGCTTCCAGGGTGGCAGCTGGTAGGAAGAGGGGACATAACGAAGCCACCTCTGTCCAGGAAGCACACTTTTCATTTGGGAAAGACAATGGAATGTAGTTTAGGGGGTCGATGCACCTGGCTCTGACACCTTGATGAGACTTTAACTTTTGCTCAAGTTGGAACATTTACTCCACTTGTCCAAATGTCATCCTCAGAAGTCTAGAGAGTGCCACCAGCACCAGAAGGTTCCTTAGCCCAAGCTCTCCATCCGCAGACCCCAGATAACCAGACAAGGGAAATGCCCCAAGAAAGAGTACTCCGGAGAAGACAGGAGAGGCTGGTTCTGACTCACTGGGCCCAGTCATCAAGAACAGAAACGAAACAGGGTTAAGAGGGAGGGAGAGGTTGGGGGGCCAGAGGCTGGAGTGGGTGGCCGTTCCTGGGATCCTTGGGGCCAAGATGACGAGCATCTGGTGCCGCTTAGGAAATTGTTTGACATTTGAGTGGACCCCAAAGCTCGTGCGGTTGTGGGAGTCATACAAAGAATTCAAAATAAATTCCTAAAGCCTGCAAAGGCTGAGGCCCATTCCTGGCCCTTGGGCCCAACATTGTGGGGCACGGCCTCCCAGGGAGCTTTCAGAATGTCCCGCTGGCCAAGAGCTTTGTCTTGCTGGCTACCTCCTCAGGCACCATCCTGGTTCCATAAAGTTCTTCTCCCAATCAAGGCCTGAGTCACCAGACCCCAAGGAGAAAGCTGCCCCCCATCCCAGGCCCAGGGCTTTCAAGAATATACCCGGGGGAGAAGGGAAAAACAGTCCATCATTTGGAAGCCGCTACCCCTTGTGGTAGTGACAAGCCACTTTGTGGGCTGAAAGGTCTTTGAGAGAAAACAGGCTGCGCGCTCTGGGAGTTTTCTGAAAAGCAGTGCCTGTGGGAACCCAGCACAAACCAAGGAGCCTTCTGCCTCGGAAGTCACAGCACAAATCCTGCCAAAGAGGGCCCTGAGCCACGCATCAACCCAGATGCCCTCAGGGTGGCTTTACAGCTAAGAGTTAGGAGGTCAGCGGTCAGGTCTGCCTTGTCCGTCTATAGAAGAGTCCTAAGGGATGTCAGGGCCAGAGCAGAGACTGGCCGGAATTAAAGGTTGTCTGCAGAAGGGATGGGATGGAGCTGGAGGACTACCTAAAAGAGACTCAGATACTCAGTGGACATCTCCGAGGCTACCGCAGACCAGCTGGGAGGTGACTGCATCTGTCTTGTTTGCCAGACTTCCAGATCAGACATTAGCTCCCTCCTAAGGCTCCCCTGACAAGAGTCTGGCTTCCCCTGCGCTCACCACCATCCTTTTGTAGTGGTGGCTCCTGCCACTGGGGTCCACTTCTGTCTTGGGTATCTCAAAGGTTCGTTCCTTTGTCTCCTTGCCTCTGTAGGCTGACCCAGTGCCTAACACATGGTGTCTATTAAATGCTCCTTTTGGTCACCCAATCCATGGCTCCCTCAGAGATGGGCTGAGCAATGCTAAGGGTAGGAAAGGGGATGTTAGGTTTATATGACAGGCAGACTCAGCAAGACCGACTCATGGCAAAGAAGTGATTTCCTGTTCCATGATTTTTGTAACCTACTTAGACAGGTGAGCAGGTCTCCACCTGAGGCTACGTCCTCATGCTGGGTCCTGCCCCTGGACACAACCAGTCTACTTCTCCACAGAAAGAACAGGCCCCAAGGTTCAGCTTCTAGAACAATGGGTGGTGCCTGACCAAAACTGAAAAGCTTCTTTTTTTATTTCAAATTCTCCTACATTTATTTTCTCTTTTTGACAAATAGGACTACTTTAAACTTGCAATAATGATACAAAGTTTCCTTTTAATTATGGATTTATTTATGCAGAAAAATGAGTCAGGCTCTGTTTGTAATGGTAAAAAAATGTAATTCATCTAAACATCCAGAAACAGGAGGATGGATAAATAAACTGTGGTATATTTAGACAAGGGAACAATATACGACAGTTAAAATGAATAAATCTGAGCTGTATATTAACACAGTTAAGTCTCAAATGCCTAATGAGGAAGAAAGAACATTGTAGGGGATACAATAGGCTATCATTTGTCTAAGTGTAAAATATGCAAATATCTAAGTTTAAAATATGCAAATATCCAAGTTTAAAATATGCAAATATCTATGTTTAAAATAGACAAATATCTAAGTTTAAAATATGCAAATATCTAAGTTAAAATATGCAAAAATTTTAAAGTACAATATTATGTATTTTATGGGTATTTACATCTGTTGTAATAGTATAAAACACACCTTGGAAATATTTAAATCCAAAGAGTGGTTCACTACAGAAAGATGGAGGCAAATTTAGAGAAGAAATTTCAACTTAGAAAAAAACCTGAAAGTAAAATAACTTGTGAGCTCTGTTACTTACAATACCTTTTAGTACCCATCTAAAATTTCATAATTTATTTCAAAATATATGACATGGAATTCTGTTACCTTGATAATGTATCGAAGAAGAAAAAAAGCTGGCAAGGTGGCTCATTGGATAAAAGCCCTTGCCGCCAAACCTTACAGCCCAAGTTCAATCCCTGGAACCCACTTGGTGGAAAGAGAGAAAATAAGAGAATACGAAGAAAATACAAAGATGCTCTGCTATGAGGCTGGTTCAAAAGACACTGAGCGCTGGGAAACAATGGCTTAATAAGTCCTCTGTAGACTGCTCACCTCTGCACCTCAGACATTTAGCACAGTGCCTGGCACATATTTTTTTTTTTAAAAATACCCACTACATCAAAATTTCCATAAGGACAGGACTCATCTGTCTTGTCCACTGCTATACCCCCAGGGTCCAGCACAGTGCATATTGAAGGAATTCAAAAGTTAAAAAATTAAGAAAAAAAAAAAAAAAAAGTTTCAACTAGCAATGGTGTGCAGTTATACATCCCACCAGCAGATGGCACTTGGCCCCTAGCTCTGACTTCCACACAATGGCCAGGATGGACAGGGATTAAGGAAGTTAAGAAATGATTTTGTCCTTCAGCCCCTCCCCAGGGGATGAAGAGTATGCCAAAAGAACTCATTATCAGCCAAATGTGCAGGAGACAAAAGTGAGGCGTCAACCAGCACAGGTGTGTGTCTGTGTATATAGCAGGTGCCCCTGTCGGTGGCACCCAGCCGCTTACACACCTGTGCATATCCGCCCGCTTGGTCTTGGTGACACTCTACTTTGCTTCACTTTATGACTCCTAACAGCACCTTCCAACACACACACACACACACACCCCTAAATGCCTGCAGTGTAAACTCCCCTATGACGGCCAAACTTCATCTCTAGCCTAAGCCCCTGGCTCCCCTATAAACAGGGTTTCATTCCTGCCCCTGGGCAAACCCCAACGGTGAAAAGCCCTTGTTCTGAGGCAGTGTTAAGTCAGCCTGACCTGGTCATCTCCAGGTGACACTCTGGTCCTTCTCATCTCCTTCCTCATCTGTTTTCTACTGAGCCCCGCCCCCCTGGGGGGGGGTCCCAAGTCACAGTATCTCATCCCTGAGCCTCTCCACTACATTGTACTGCTCCGTGGCACTTAGCAAACACTTCCGATACCTTTAGAAACACGTTCACCAGCACATATTGCTCATGCCTCCAACTTGATCAAAGTAACCGAGTTGCCCTTCCAGCAGGAACCACGCTGTGTTCTGTGGTTCCCCGCCTCCTTTCACATGCTCAGCAATATGTAATCATGCAGTTGCCCGCACAAGTCAGGCAAGCGGAGAAAGCTGAAACGGGGCAGGTGTCCCATTAACTCTCCTTGAATGGTCCTCTGTAGGAGCCACTTATCAGCATGCGGATCTGCGCCCTGCAGACTTTGGGCTAGGCCTCTGAAGGGCAGCAGGGAGTCCATTCACACTCAGGGAAGGCCAGCTATGTGCAGGCGCTGATCTGATGGGAACACAGAAGTGAACAAAACCCTGCTTTCATGGAACTCGTATAAGTCTGAGCACATAAGCAGAAATAGAAATATATACATGAGGGCTATAAAGGAAGCATGAAATGGGGAGGGGGCAGAGAAGGGGTGAGACACCATGAATCCTGCTGAAATACGGGAGAAGCGCGCTGCAGCCAAGGAGAACAGTATGTCCAGGAAGCAGAAGATCCTCCGTAGTGGAACTAGGGGTACAAGCATCGGGATTCTTAGCCTGGGACTAAAACCAACAGGTAAATCAGGCTCAAACCAACGGCTGCCAAAGTCCCTCCTAGGCTTACCCTGCCCAGTCGGGCACTGCCAGGTTATTGTGCCCTCATTCCAGAGACACCTGGTTACTCAGGCAAGATCCCCAACCATTGTAATTCTAGGCAGGGTGTTGCTGGGCAGAGGGGGAGGCCCTTCTTCTGTGGTAATAGAATAGAGTCCGGGGGTCACAGCGAGAGGTGCAAAATAATTAAAGAGTTGGAAGGAGGCTCGGCCTTAAAAAATGTACAAACAGTGCTGACACAGAGACTCACTGGCACACACACACACAGACCCCGTCCCTCACACAGCGTCGGGGCAGCCTTTCCCCTCCAGAGAGCTCCTAAGTCCTTGCCTAAGCCCTCTGCGTGTCCCAGCAGCCCCGAGCCCGGACCATACACTTGTCTCGGCGCGCCGGCTTCGCTGCCAGCCCCTTCCTGGAGATGCATCTGTCTTCGCGCCCGGGTGTCCCCACCCCACCCCCCACCCCCTCGTCCAGATCCTCCACCTACTGGCTCCCCGAGCCAGCTTAACCTTCTCTGGGCCTCAAGAACCCAGAGCGCCCACCCAGCTGCCTGCTCCCCACGGCCTCTCGGATCCTGGCAGAGCTGCCAATCGCTGAGCTGGTTAGCCCAGCACAGAATGAGCTAGAAACGCACAAGAACTTAACGTCGGGGTTCCGGGTGAGCTGGTGTCCACGGGAAAGGATAGTAGATTTATTTTTTTCCCCCAAAACTTTTTGAAAGCTGGTTCTGAGGCCCGGCTTCGGAACCTCGGAGCCGTTTCTCTCCAGTACTGCGGACAAAGGGACACAAGTCTCCTCTGTCCCACATGCCAGTGATGGCATGACTGTCCTCCCCACCATTTCCCCCTCCAGTGCTCACCCGGTGAGCCGCCCCTGCCGTGCAGCCGCGGGTCGCTGCGGGGTCACCGGGCGCGCGACAGAAGGCGCGGCCCGGGCTGCTGGCTGCTGCTGGCCCCGGGGACTGCTTCTTCGGGTCTGGACAGGTGGCTGGACTCGACGCAGCTGTTGGGCACGGAATGGCCTCCTGGCCTCGGCCTCAGCCTCGGCGAGCCTCCTGGGGCTCCGCTGGCCCGGCTGGTTCCACTCCGAGGGCGGCAAGCCGGAGACGGGCGCATCAGGCTCCCGGAATAGACTGTACACCTTGGCTGCAGCCGCTGCGGGGTGACTGCCCACGGGGCGCCACAGCCGACTCGCATCCCTGCTAGCTGGTTCATATCTCCCCACGGAGTCCCTCTGGGCATGACCTGGCCCCATCCAAAGAGCCAGGGCGAGTGGCAGAAAGCCCCTCCAACACATCCGCAGGACGCGTCCGGAGCAGCGGGCGGTGGGGGTGGTCGGAGCTCTCATGGCGCCAGTGTGGCTGCAGAGCTGCGGGCACCCGAGACCTCGCGGGAGATGCTCTCCACCGTTCGCTCCACGGACCGGCCTGGAGGCTTGCCCCTACCCGTCTATGGGGGACTCTGAAGCAGCCGTCTGGGGGCCCGGGGGTTCCTGGGCAAGGACTGTATGGCGTGAGCTGCCTGGGCTGCGCACCGAGCCCGTGTCCACTGCACCTTCGCTCCCGCTCCCCGCACTGAAGCCGTCTGAAGGGGAACCGGAGGGTTTTATTTTTGGAAACCACCCCCTGCTTTTTCGTCCCTTTTATCCACGCCATGCCCCCTCCTCGGAGGGACAGCTCGGCCCCCTTATTACGGGAGACAGGAATTCCAGCAACACCCACTTTGGCACCGAGAAGCGAGCGGGCGGCGAGGGGATTAACCCGTGAGGAGCTGCGGGCGATGACGCAGGGCGGACCCGGGGACTGGAGGGACAGATGGGCGTTTGCCTGGACAAGCGCACCTGAGCCGCCGGTCTCGTGTCCTGAGCCAGCTCAAACTGTCCACTTGTCCTGGAAGTATTTCCTGCTTCTGGTCTCATGGACCCAGATTTGGAACAAGGCTGCTTCTCTGGCCTGAAGGAGGCTGGAGAAGGTACCCAGACCAGAGTAATGGGGACAGAGCCTGAGGCATACGCGCCTGGACCCGTGTCGCTTTCTCCCCTGGCCTCTGGGGGCGCTAGGCGAGAGTACAGGTGTCCCTGGGGCAGCAGCCAGGAGCCGGACGCCTATGGGGAAGGTCAACTGGGGGGCGCGCGCCCCCTAGTGGAGCTGGCCGCACCCTTGGCTGCCCTGCCTTGCAGAGACATGCTCTGCCAGCCGTCTCAGCTCCTTGATCTTAATCAGCTTCCTGTGGCGTCCAGGCTCGCCCTGGGCCAGTGGTGATGATGGCTGCCGCTGGAAGAGGGAGCCCCTTTTCCCAAAGGTAGACATGGAGCCTCCTGAATACGGTGACTAAAGCAGCGCATGGCCGATGAGGGAAATGAAAAACGGGCCGGTGACTCATGTCACAGCCCCTCATTCCTTCGAGAGATTTCTCCTAGTGAGACTGGATGAGCCTCTGAGTGGTCCCTGATGGGCTGGGTTCTTACATCGTGTATTGACGGGGACAGCGATGTCGGTTACCTCCCATGCAAGCACCTTCTCCAATCCGCCGTCTTTCTCACCCATGTCCCCTGCCCCAAAGCCTAAAAGCCTTGGCAGGGTGCAAATATGGCTTTCCCGGGAATGTTTTCACAGCCTCCCTTAGGAAGGCAGAATGAAAGAGCCGGTAGAGGGCACCACTTACAACCTCCCCTACCAGCCTCCCTCCTCCCAGAAGCCTAAGTAATATCCAACTGGAGAAGAAAGCCTGAATACTTGACATTGGCCTACAAAATCCTCCATGCCCGGCTGGCTCTCTGACCTATCTGAGCTTATTCTTGCTCAGTATTCGTTAGACGGCGTCTGCCCTGGCCCTCTCCACTCTGCAAACAGTCCACCACGGTGTCCATTTCCCGCCACCTGGAGGGAGTGTTCATCTCCAGGGGGTCTTCAGGATGGGCTCTTCATTTTAAATATCACCCCCTAGAGTGGTCGTGAGCGCTGCTCAGCTTCCCAGGCCTGTGAAGAAATACCCAAGGTTACCCACTTAACAAGGAGAAATCATTTCTTTCGGCTCACGGTTTCCACCCTCGCTGGTTAGCTCCACTGCTTTGGGGCCTGTGCTGAAGGGAGGCAGAGGAAGCAAAGAGAGAAAATGAGGGGCCAAGGTCCCAACTGTCCTTGGAGAGCATGTCCCCAGTGATCTAACTTGCCTCTCCTAATCTCCACCTCCTCAAGGAGTGTTACAAACCAGTCATCAAGCCTTTGACATATGTCCTTTGGGGAGAGATTTCAGCACCAAACTGTAACACCATCCCTGAAGCCCTGGTTTAGAACAGCCCTCATACCTCCAAGTCACCACGGTCTCACACACCACCACCCTGCTTTATCCTCATGGCTTTACCAAGCTGAAATTATCTTACCATTTGTTGACTGTGCAGTTGGCTCAAGAGACAGAACCTGACACCACCCTGCTTTATCTCCATGGCTTTACCAAGTTGAAATTATCTTACCATTTGTTGACTGTGCAGTTGGCTCAAGAGACAGAACCTGACACTACCCTGCTTTATCTCCATGGCTTTACCAAGTTGAAATTATCTTACCATTTGTTGACTGTGTAGTTGGCTCAAGAGACAGAACCCGACACTACCCTGCTTTATCTCCATGGCTTTACCAAGTTGAAATTATCTTACCATTTGTTGACTGTGTAGTTGGTTCAAGAGATAGAGCTTGAAGGAGGGACAGTCAGCTATATTCCTGTCTCCCACCACATAATAGTGAGCCTTCTTTTCCTACTTCTTTTTTTTCTTTTTTTGGTTTTTCGAGACAGGGGGTTTCTCTGTGTAGCTTTGCACCTTTCCTGGAACTCTCTGTAGCCCAAGCTGGCCGCAAACTCACAGAGATCTGCCTGCCTCTGCCTCCCAAGTGCTGGGATTAAAGGCGTGCGCCACCACCGCCCGGCTTCCCTACTTCTTTTTAAAAGATTTTAAAAAGTACTTTCAATTATGTATAGGTGTGTGTGCCTACAAACAGGCATGTGCCCATGAGTGCGGGGGCCCTTGGGGGCCAATGGTATAGGATTCCCTGGAGCCAGAGTCACGGGTGGTCTGTGGGCCCCCTGATGTGGTTCGAGGGACTGAACTCTGGGCCCTGTGGAAGAGCAGCCAGTGCTCTTCACCACTGAGCCATCTCTCCAGCCCCATTCTTCTCTGCTCTTCATACACCTCAGGCACGGTCCTAGGCTTGCCTATTCCTACCAGATATAAGAACTAAGATCGACTTTTAGCCACTCAAGAGCCTGCTCTTGTGCAGGTCAAAGGCTCATCCAATTTAGTCAATATCATATCCAATTTAATTCTCTTTTTCTCCCCTCTGCTTCCCCACCAATAAGCTGCAGGCCCATAGTGGGGAGGGGGGGTCTGTTCTTCAGATTCTCCTTCTACACTATGGCTCTGCTGGGTCAGGGGGCCACGGGGGGGGGGGCAGAGAAAGAGCAGCAAGGCCTTATTTAGCAGGTGCCCAAGCACTGGCCATCTCTTTTATATGGGCTGGCGGCGGGGGGTGGGGGGGTGGGGGGGTGGGCGTTGGGGCTTCCACCCTGAACTGTTATAGCAAAGTAGTCTCTAGCCAATCTCCTGAAGACCCTGCATCCCTTGCCCCAACAGACATTCCAGCGCTTGCCAGGCCAAGCAGTAGTAAGGAGGCCACTTACTTCCCTACCATGTAGACCACCCCAGCCTCACAGTCACAATTCTCCATCAGGAACTGCACGAGAGTCCCTTCATATATGTGCTTGCTCAGTTCCTAAAGATGTTGGGACCTCCCAAGAACCTTTTTGCTGTGCCTGGGCACATGGGGGTATCGGTAACGACCAGTGATTGTCCGGGTAGCAGAGGATGGGCAGCTGGGAGGAGTCATAGCAGTCTCCTCTTCTGGCAGGTGATGCCTCCCTTCACTCAGCTTGCATTAGGGGTGTCCTCAGGGAGACCTCAGCCCTGTCTACTAAGGTAGCCAGTGTGTTCTCTCCCCGGTGACTAACTGCATCCTTTTCACTGTAGACAAGAACCAAGGCAGTTGTAAAAACCTATTCTACCTACAGGTATCTTGTACTTCTCTTCAGAAGGTCCTGCTGTCCTAGGCTATGACATTTCAGTGGACGTTCTGTGTGTGTGTGTGTGTGTGTGTGTGTGTGTGTGTGTGTGTGTGTACATGTCCATGAGGGGGTGCACATATGTACAGTGGTCAGAGGTCACCCTTGGGTGTCATTCCTCATGGGCCATCCCTATTGGGTTTTTGTTTGTTTGTTTATTTGTTTGGTTTTTTTGAGACAAAACCTCTCATTGGCCTAGGCTTCCTTACTGATTGGCTAGGCTGGTTGTTCAGCAAGTCCCAGAGATCCATCTGTCTTGGCCTTCCCAGTACTGGGATTAACAAGCACATGCTACTGCTGTGGGATGTCTTTCAGTATGCTGTGAATATGTGTTGCTCTGATTGGTTGATAAATAAAGCTGCATTGGCGTATGGCAGGGCAGGATGGAGCCAGGGGGGGAAATCCAAGGGAGATAGTGAGAGGAGAAAGGAGAGGCAGGGGAGACACCATCCTGCTGTCCGGGGAGCAGGATGTAATGACACACAGGTAAAGCCATGGAACACGTGGCAACATACAGATTAACAGAAATGGGCTGAGTTTAGTTATAAGAGCTAGCTAGCAAGAAGCTTGAGCCATAGGCCATGGCCATACAGTTTGTAATTAATATAAGCCTCTGTATGTTTATTTGGGTGTGAACTGCTGTGGGACTGGGTGGGACACAGAAAATTTCCAGCTACATGCTACCATGCCTGGTTTTTTTTTTTTTTTTCCTTTTTGTTTCGTTTGTTTTTAAAGCTGGGTTCAGAGGACCAAACTCGGGTCCTCAGGTTTACAGGCAAGCACTTTATTAACTGAGCCATGCCCCCCCAGCTCAGCATCAGCAGACGTGCTAAAGCCACAGGAAGGGTCCTGTCCAACAATCTATAAAATTGTCACCATATTTCCCCAGCTGTTGTATCTCTAAATGAGCTGATCTGTTGTCCACTGTCTCCCCAGAATGTAGAACAGGGTTAGAATCTGGCGGGCAGTCAAGAAACACACCTCGATGGTGGCTTGGGATGATTGACAGAACGCCCCGCCAACCAGGGAGGACTGGTATCGCTAAGCCTGTTTGAAGAGAGGAAAAACTTGAGCTCTGGGTGATAGCTCCTGGTCCACACTCTCATGCTTGCTGTCCATGGGGATGCGTGCCCCCTCCATCCCCAGGATGCTCAGTTCTATCCCTTCGTCCGTGATGTAAGCCTCCTGGCTAGAACGGGTGCCCATCTCTGCAGTCTAGGCCTCCCCCTTCTACCTGTCCAGTGCCTTCAGGGGCCCTCCTCTGCATCCCCCGGCGCTCACCTCACATCCCCAAGTCCTTCTCAAGGCCAGAAACCTTGGCGTCATCTTGTCCCTGAGCTATATTTTCCTCCTGTGTGTCCAAGTCATTATTACCGCTCCGTCTCCCCAGCCTGAATTTCTGGAAGTCTGCCGCCCATTCAGCCTCTCGCTGCGCGCCTCAGCCAAGAGCCTCAGCAGACATGCTTCCCTCACCACCCGGCGCCCCTCCCACTCCTCGATGAGTACAAGTGGTCCTTGGAAATCCCCACCCTGTTCTCCTGGGGCCCACAGCCCCAATAATCTACGCCAAGGCTTGGCATCTGCTGC